TGTTTGCGTGCGTATGTACGTGTGTGCGTATGTGCTTGCGTGCATGTGTACGTGTGTGCGTATGTGCTTGTGTACGTGTGTACGTGTGTGTGTATGTGTTTGCGTGCGTATGTACGTGTGTGTGTATGTGCTTGCGTTCGTGTGTACGTGTGTGCGTATGTGCTTTCGTGCGTATGTACGTGTGTGCGTATATGTGCTTGCGTGCGTATGTATGTGCGTGCGTACGTGTTTGCGTGCGTGTGTACGTCAATACGTGTGGGCGTGCGTGCGTATGTACGTGTGTACATGTGGGCGTGCGTGCGTGCGTGTGTGCGTGAGTGCGTGCGGGCGTGCGTGCGTGTGTGCGTAAGTACGTGCGGGTGTGCGTGCGTGTTTACGTGTGTGCGTATGTGCTTGCGTGCGTATGTACGTGTGTACGTGAGTACGTGCGTGCGTGCGTGCCAGCGTGCGTGCGGGCGGGCGTGCGGGCGTGCGTGCGTGCGGGCGTGCGTGCGTGCGTGCGTATGTTGCGCGAACATCTGTGCGTAGTGACCGCTTCAATTTTGCGCATAATATGAGCCAGGTATCATTTAACTGTATTTTCACTCTTTGACATACAAATATAAGTGTCTTTATCCTCGCGTCTACAGGTGCCATGGTGGACCAATTTGGAAACACGAGATCAGCATTCCTATTTGGCGGGATCACGCTTCTCACGTCGGCGCTGTTTTTTGTCGGCGTCCTCCTCCTTAACCGCCGCCAGGTTAACATCCGACGCGCCAGCGTAGCGAGTAGGAAGGCATCCCGCCGCTCATTACAGTAGCAAACGACGACGATGACGATGACGATGACGATGATGATGATGGCCATGACGATGATGATGACGACGACGATGATGATGACGATGGATGCACGCGTATATGTTGTGCATTCATCCTCGCGGCTATAGGAGGTGTACAACAGTAAGCGTCCGCAAATTGTTCACCGTTGCACTATATCGTCTCTAGAAAATGCCTTTTTTTCGCATATTTTTTCGCAAAAATACGGCACTAGAGGCAATAATTTGCATTATGCACGCAAGTTAAATGCCTCGTGGACGTCTAGAAAGCATTAGAAGTAAAATTGGTCTTGTTGTGTATTCGTGACATTCCGTCAGGTGGCGTAGCCACAGCGAGCGTTGGTCATTTTTGTCTTTGAAATGTGTTCAGGTGTGCTTAACAGCATGGAGCTAACATTAATTTCCATTGATTTCTGTGTTTTGGGGGCTCATTTCAGAGATATCTCAGGCTCACGAGTGATATCTCAGCTTCTGGAGTCATACCACATTTGAAATTCGGTCGCCAAATAAGGGAATGGCTCTAAATTATTTATCTAAAATTTCAAGTCGATCCGCATCTTCGCTGCTCATATATAACCACCAGTGACTGTCTCGCTTATCACGAGAGGCATGCTACGACGTAATAGCTGGTAGAAAAGTCAGCTGTCACTACTGCCACTACCAAATAGCCAGGGTTTGGGACAGGTACTTACAACAGGGAATTACAACATAACTGCTCACCAAATTCAATCAAAACATATCTATTGAATAAAAGAGATGTTTCTCTGCGCTCACCATGAAAATAATCATGAAAAAATTCATTGCTAATTAGTTTACTTTAAATTGTAAATTTATACAAAAAATGTTTTTTCACATTTCTTAGAAACAACAAAGGGTTGAGACCTAAACTTTAAGCCAAGTTGTTCATAGTATGAACTAGTAATCAGTCCCTGGAATTTTTTCCCCAATTTTAAATGTTTTATTTTAGGAAATGAGTTGAAAAGATGCACGCAAATCTCCATTTTTTATTTATGATACAACAATATCGTAAAATAAAGAGCCATAACTTCTAAAATAAAACATTGAAAAAATCCAGGGAACGTTTACTAGTTCATACTACGAACAACTTATGGTTAAAACTTTAGGTCCCAACCTTTTGCTGTTTCTGAGAAACGTGGAAAAACCCCACATTTTTTTGTATAAATTTACAATTTTTGCCGTAATTAGTGATAAATTTTTATGGTTATTTTTTCGTGAGCGTAGAGAGACATCTCTTTTATTAAATAGATATGTGTTTGATTGAATTTGGTGAGCAGTTATGTTGTAACCCCCTTACCAGAGATACTTGTCCGTAACCCTGACTGTATCCTTATAACGCAGGAATTGATAACGCGGATGCACCCGGGATAAAAGGGGCATCGGAAACAAGGGGCACTACGATCAGGGGGCACCGGGATCAAGGGGGTGTCAGGGGGGCAGAAATTAGTGGGGTACGTTACAGGCAGGGCAGGCAATAGGTTCAATGGATGTCGGTTTGGAGCATTGTGTTAGACATTTATAGTATCAAACTGTCCGTTTTCTTTTTCGAAAATCACAATTTTTATAACATAGTTTTTCTTTTTTTAGTTCTTTGGGATTTCGAGACCGAGATCGTCGTCTGAGAAACGTGAAAAAATCAGGTTTCAACCGAAAATACGATTATTTAGCCAAAATTATATACGTCCGTGCAGTAGAGAGATTATGTCTATAATATACCTGCGGTGGGTATCTAGCAAGCTAGAGCTCAATATCGTTTTAAAATAAGTCTGTCGAAAGTCATTAATCATATCAAGGTACTAGCGGGTAGCTACTCTCTACTTTAAATGTATACGTTTAACTAAATACCATTTCGTTTGGAAGAATTCGTCTTACGAAAACCTAGTTCATGGCCGGCAAAATCCATGAAGATTTACTTATGTAACAGACTTTCTGATCTGGATGCGCGCAAGCCAAGTGACGTTTAAATTATACATGTAGTGAAATTATACATCTCCGGAGTGAATCTCCCATGACGTATACCGTACAAGCTATACTATATGTTGCCTATCATTCTAATTGCGAGACCTAGTGATTGTCATTCATAATATAAGAAGTAAATAATAAGGGCAAATAATATCTCCCCTTAAAGCTAGCAGCACACTTCACCATTTTCGTTGCTCGTACAGGCAATTTTCGTGGTGAGCAATTTTTGTGGCCGTTGCCGCGTCACAGCACACGCCACCACTCGCCACCACTGAGTGGTTGCGTGTGCTGCCGACGGCAATTTGTAGACTTTGGTCCTGGCATGTCAACTTCAACCTCCTCTTGAGTCATCATCTCTGCTTCATTCCCAGACAATTCATCATCATAATTCATTTCAAATACTGCAGTCTGCTGAAAATAGAAATGCAGAGAAATGTATACCTTGTAGAAATGTANTCCTGACAGAGTTCTTTCTATCCGAGACTGGGGCAGTTTCCTGGCAGGAAGATATGATAGTAAATAAATAAGTCTCCCATGTTTACTGTTGACCTACAGTTCATGTCAAATCAATCTGTTGCCATGGTTTTGGCCTCTGCAGGGAAATTAATCTTGGAAATTTTAAAGGATTTTAGATTTAAAACACAAAAATGTGGATTTTTGAAAAGTTTGGTTTAACGACTAGAAAGGTTTGAAGGTTTCAGCAAAATCGGTCCAGGAATAGAAAAGTCCTATATCTATGTTTCTATAATATAAAATATATAATAATATATTTATAATATATATGTAATAAATATATAATAAAATAATATATTATAAAATAATATATATAAATAATATAATGTATAAAATATTCTATTATATAACGTTCACCCAAAACGCACAAAATTCTAATGGAAATTTTAATGGAAGTTATAGAAACAGATTTTTTTATTCGACCATGGACTGTACCTTGTCCAGATTAGATGTCGTGCTCCGTTGACCGAGGTGGGGTACAAGAAACTGCATTCTCTCTACCAACCAAGCTGCTCGCTTTGAAGGCACCTTGGTCGCACTGCCACTGGGTACATCCTTTATCTCTCTTAAGTTCTTCCCGAACTGTGTCCTTAAAGCCTTCATTTTTCTTTTAACCTCTGCTTCTGAAACAAAAATGATTAATATTTACAATGTGGAATGTACCAGTGAATAAAAAAGGATGTGATGTAAATAGTTTTTGTACGTCACTTTGTTTGTTTTGTATGTCAGCTTTGTGATACTGATCATCAACAAGGCTGCCAAGCAGGGCCAGAGCGCCCAGCGAATCTTCG